GACCGGGGACTTCGCTCATTGCAACGGTGCGCTTTATACTTTTTGGGGTATGGGATCCCTTATATTTATGTAAACAGGATCCTTTTTTCTTCCTAGGGGAATGTGGGCTAAGTGTAATAGTAATCATAGTAATAACGGTACTTATAGCAATAATAGCATATACTCGCTGCGTATATATGATCCCCATACAGGATGACTCTAACCCTTATATAGCCTCATATAATATGACCTGGACCATTCTTTTGTCCCCATTTGTTTGGAATGTGCTTTTGAGTTGAAGGGTTTAGGGTGCGAGAGTTCCATCACGATCGTAGGAGTTTCTGAAACTTCTGGGTTCCTTTTGGGGAGTCCTTCCTTTGGGCAGTCTGCGAAGCCCGAATTCTGAGAAACTTCCCTTCACTCGGCAAGACTATAGTCCCCCTTAAGTAGATAGAATATGGGGTATATGGGAATCTTATTAGAATATACCCAAAGCCATATTCTATCTACTTAAGGGGGACTATACCCTGGGATTCTCGATTTTTTCGAAAAGCATCCAAATCATGCTAAAGCTGTGCCATGCAAGCTTCAGTGTACATATTCTACGATGGATCAAGAGAGCCACAGTGCTTTGCAGGAGGCCATTACCCATGTAACCCTTGTATATACCCTAAATATCCCTATATATACCGTATATACACTTTTATATAACCCGCATATATACCCCATTATATTATAGTAGCTTCTATCACAGCTTCCATTTTCTCTTCCATTATCCCTACATAGCCCCAATATACTATATAGTCGCACGTTATTCGCTCCGACCCTATGGAGTCCTTGCCAGGCAGAGCATAATGAAAGTCCAACCAGGCAGTCACCCAGACACAGGGGTTACAGGGGTTATAAAGGGACGCATAGGGAGATGTAAGCTTATAGAGATAAATAGGGATATTTAAGTTCAGGATTTAGGGGTTCCCAAACTAGCGGTACTTTTGGGGGGTCCTATAATAAGGATGACAGTATACTGGGGTCTATATTGGGGTCCCCCTGTTTTTGAAAACTACCAGCTGAGAAGATCTAATCTATTGAGGGCATGTTGCCATGGGGAGCACAAGCTCCAGCTCTTCGATTCCATCCAAAAAGAAGAAGAAGCTTAAGGTAAAGAAAGCCTTTGCCCCAGCGCTCGCTGATGTCATGCATTTTGAACGCGTAGCCTAAACAGCTGGCCATGCTGGGCGCATGACACCCGGAAGGATGGAAAGGCAAAAAAGAAAAAAAAGGACACCAGCAATGTCTGACTGGCGCGCGCGCCGACATACATTAGACATGGTTGCCGAGCCAAATCATGCAGAGGACAAGAAGAATAGAAAGGAGAGCCCTGTTGACATGGGCTACTTTGCTTGAAAGCTTCATGCTTCCTCATTTGTCTTTGGAGGGCTGTGCTCTTCTGCAGGCTTCGAGGCGGCCTTGGCAGCAGCTGCCAAGGAGCGTGCAGAAGCAGAAGCTTCAGGCAGCTGTGGCAAAGGCGCCAAGATTACAGAGCTATGTGACTTCAGGTTCACCTTGAGCAAAGAAACTGGGCATTGTTCTTCTCCTCTTGAGGTGAAGAAGTTACGAAGAAGCTGAAGCCCAAAGTTGGCTCCAGCAGCGCCTGGTGCGGCACTTCTGTTGCTGCAGTTGTGCCATGGCTCTCTGGGTCTCTGATTCAGGCACAAAGAGCCAACAAGAATCCACAGCCCAAGCGGGTGGCGCTTCAAAGCCAAATTCGCTGCTAGCTTCCGGCAAGGGCGAGGTACTTTGTGCCTGCTGAAGTGACCTGTGCTGAGTCACTGAACTCAGCGGCTTTCTGCGTGTAGAGGTGGTCGATGCATTCTCCTACGACCCAACGAAAAAGCCCGATGTGATGGCCTTAGCTTGCAACCACCCCAGGAACACGCTCGTTTGGCAAATATTGCAGCTTGCTGGCGAACTCCAGGCCGATTACTCTAAGCCCGATCCGCTGTCTATTGCCAACTCCGGCCTGGATATCCAGCGACGCGCCCTGTCTGAAAAAGCAGCCGCACACGCCACAAGCAAGCCAGCACATCCTGAACGCAGGAAGGTGATGGAGGAAGTGATTGGTCCCCCATAATCTTACCCCAGTCACTTTAAACAACTAGGCAAACCCTACAGCCTCTCTCCACAATCCATTGAGGGCTCGAGAGGGTCCCTCGCTGGCAGGCATCTACGAGCAAGATCGCAGTGAGTACAGCGCCGACCAGCTTCGCCGCTGCGACGCCATCGCCCGCGGCAAAAGGTGGGGTAGGCAAAAAGTAGTTGAATTGGGGTTATATAAAGGTAATATACGGGTGATATTGGGGTAATATAGGGGTTATATAAGGTTCCTTAAATTTGTTCAAGCATTTTTTTGTTACGGCGCAGTGCTGCCCAGCCCCACCCGCGCCCAATGGCATGGTGGTGGCATGAGGCTTAACAGTTGCCAGCATGGACTGTCACCTTGAAGCACCAAGACCTGCATTTTGCCATGGTCAGGCAGAGATTCATCCCTACCCCCTTGTGGTTTGGGCGTTCTTTTTTTACGACATTTCAGATCATAACCCCTCCCGCCTGTGGTGTGATGGGTGTGACTTCTCCCAAAACTGTTTGCATTGCCTTTTTGTTGAAGCCTTCTGACCTCCTCCCTCCTTCTGTGGTGTGGGTGGTTTTCTTCCTTCAAAAACTATGATCACTCGTTGCTGAAGTCCTCCAGGTCTTTGCCCTCCCCCTGGAAGGCCACCCACAACTCTCACCATTGTTGCAACTCATTGTCAACCTGCAGCACGGGGCTCTCCTCTTGGTACAAACAGCGCTGATATGGAATTGCCTGAAGCCTACAGCAACTCGGCTTTGAGGCTGTGGATTGGGTCAGTCAGATCTTCCCCACTCCCCCCCTTTGGTGAGGGTGGCTTTCGCGTGGGTTCCCTGGAACGGTTGGCAATTTTCAGATCTGCAACATCAAAAGCAATGACAGTTCGCAGATCGTGACTGGAAAGCCCACCATCCTTGTAGCGAGTGGTGCCGGGAAAGCTGCGACATCCAAAATGACGACATCTAAGAGGATTTTGATCCGGACTCCCACAATCTCTGTGACCGTTGGTACGACAGCATAACAAAGATGACAGTTATGAGACTGGCGCCTCCGAGGCCTCAATAACGAGGACAGTTATTCATATGAATTCATATGAGCTGTAGTCTAAACTCCTTAAAGGGGGGTTTTGTAGGGGACGACTACTAGACGGGGTATTAAGGGGGGTACTAGGAGTAAGATTATGATCCATATTTCTGACAGTCCGAGGCTGGGGATCAGGAACCATACTGGGGGGGGGGGGGGCTGTCGACACGGGACACGGCACCATATATATGCTCTCCCCCCCCCACCCCACCCAGATCTACCTCGGAAGGCGTTTCGCCTCCAGAATTCTCAAATCCTGGGCCGTGATTTCCGCTGTGCAAATGACTTACCAAACGTGCTTGAAAGGAAAAAAAGCTATCAAATACTGGGTTGCTGACATTCTCTATGTAAAACCCTCTCTAAAACCCTTACCCAAAGGTTTCGAATTCAAAGGGCAATTCTCAGATTGTGGGTTCCCGATTGTTTCAATGTAGGTTCATTATTTCATTCTCAAATGAACTTCAGACTTGAATGGGAATTCCAAAATCCTATGCCTTCACTCTCCTTTTCTTAGCGTTGTTTTACATCACATAAAGTGCCTACTAAATGTGCTTCTAGTTTACAGAAGAATTTTCAGGTCCTGGGTTTCTGACTTTCTTTAACGAGGTTCCTCTTTTCTCGGCCTGGACTTTTCCTGCGTCATCCCTTTAGAATGCAATCCAAATCTTAAAGGATTATTCTCAGACCATGGGTTGCTATTTTTTAGATAGATCCCTTGTCAGAAGTTAAGGGAACCCTCATTAAATGTGGTTTAAATTTGAATGGGAAGCTCTTCCTGGGCCTGATTTGTCCTATAAATCCTCTACAAGATGTGTTCCTAATTTCAGTAAGAGGTTTCAGATCCTGGGCTCCGGGTTTTTTCTAATTTGATTCGGAGATCTTAAATGCACGCCTGGCTCCTCCTTTCGAGGGCATTGGCTCTCTTGCTGTACACCCTTCACCGAATGTATCTCAAAGTCAACCGGTATTTTCATGTCTGGGTGTTTGATGCTCTCGCCTTTGAATGCTGCAACAGTGCGGTTCAAATGAAAATCATGTTTCTCCTTCTGGGTCTTCAGCTTTTCTATAAAGACTTCTTCTCAAACCTGCTAGCAGTTGGACAAATAACTCTCAGGTCATAGGTCTCTTGCTTTCTGCGAATAGATCTCTCACTATGTGACTTGAAAATCATCTCTTCCTGGGCTTGGCTTTCTTTATGTAAATCACTTACCAAATAGGTCCATAAAAATCCAGTCTCAAATACAAAAAATCCTAGAATCCTGGATTCCTGGTTTCGGAGTTGGTTCCGGTCCATATAAGTCCCTTATTAAACCTAAGTGAGACTAATGCAGTAATCCTAGAATCCTGGATTCCTCGTCTTGGATTTGGTTCCAGTCCATATAGATCCCTGATTAAACTTCATTAAGTGAAACTAATACTATAATCCTAGAACTTGGATTCCTGGTCTTTGACTTGGTAAATATTGCTTAGACCTGAGGAGGTCACAAAAAGACCAAAGTTTCCTCTTCCAATTTAAAAACCAACACCGAGTATGAAACAAAAAAGTAAAAAATCAAAGGTGTGTGATTTCCTCAGGTTTTGGCAAGGTTTTCAAAGAAGTATTCCTAAAACTTGAAGAGCTCTCAAAAGAACCGAAGTCTAGAGGTGAAACATTTGTCAAAACCTGAGGTGGTTTAAAAAAGAATAAAAAATTGGAGGTCTTGGGATTGGCTGCCTCAGGAATCTTGGTTCTTTCCGAGACCTTCTCAGGTTTTTAGTCATAGTTTCCTGGAAAACCTTGCATAAAGCTGAGGAAGTCTCAAAAAACAAATCTTCGAAGTGCAAACCTTCCAAAACCTGAGGAGTGAGGAGGTCACAAAAACAAGTTTTATTAGATGTGTTGGGGTTTGGTGGTCTCTGGATTTTTGTTTTTTTTTCCGACCTCGTCAGGTTTTTGCAATAGTTTCCTTGAAAACGTTGCCACGAAGTGTTGTTTTTTTTGAGACCTCCTCAGGTTTGGGCAATAAATTCCTCCAAAACATTGCCAAAACCTGAGGAAGTCTCAAAAAACAAAAATCTAGAGGCCCTGGCTTCGAAGACTTCGAGGCGTTGTCTGTTTTGGAGACCTCCTCAGGTTCTGGCAATAGTTTCCTTGAAAACTTTGCCAAAACCTGACGAGGTCTCAGAAACAATAAAAAATCTAGAGACCCCCAACCCCAAGACCACCAAAGGCTATCGCCTCTAAACTTTTTTGAGACTTCCTCAGCTTCATTCAAGGCTTTTAAGGAAAATCCTACGAAAAGCTGAGGGGATACGCGCAAAACCCACCAAAACTGAGTTTTTCAAGGTCTTTATATACAACATTGCTAAAACCTAAATTTGTAGATATCTGTCAACTACCGGATTCCGGTAGTCACCAAATGCACCTTCAGGACATCAAATATATGATTAAAACATGTTTAACGAGTTTGCCAAAAATAGCAAAAACACTATTGTTTACAGAGTTTTCGCGTTTCCATATAAGGATATGATGTGCTTGTAAGGAAGAATATTTGGCACAGTACCTTTCGAGGTAGATCTTGGAGGGGGGTGACCATATGTGTATATATATATATATTGTATCGATTCTGCTCATGGGCATGCTTTCCGCTTTTTGTTTGTCTTCTAGGCCCTTCATATCTTTGCTTCTTTCAAGACTCCCCTCTGTCAAGAGCCCGTATTATTGGGGAAGTACAGGGTACCATGTCCCCTGTCCATTGGTGGCTGGTACCTCCCCTTTAAGTGTCACAGTGACGGTACACCCCCGCTTCTACAAGGAAAATTTTATCCTGAAAAATTTGGGAGGTCGTACCATTGTCAAAAAGATTATGGAATTGGGGGGGAACGTCAAGTTATGGCATGGATTCCATTTTATCAGGGTTGGTAACCACTGCCATTCCACACACAACAGGGAATCTGAAGGGGGATGTCAGGAATGTGGGGTTGTGGAACGAATCTTTTGGGTTTGTTTGCTCCGGACCTCCTCATGGGGTTGTGAATTGGGATGGTCTCCTTCCTTTTCACCAGACCAAACCCTAAGCATGCGTCGCAAAAGAAAAAGGAATGAAAAGTTGTAGAAGGTTTGAAGACAGCCAGCAGCCCTGGAATACAGAACCAACCCTCACGTAATTCCGGCTACCGGGATTGTTAGCTGCTCTGGCCCGGGCGGGTTTCACCCAGATACCCGCGTTGCTCTTGCTAACATCTGCCTCTTTATAACGACTGGAAGCTCACTGAGCCATCAAGTTTCAGATGCTGCTTCTCGCTCTTCCGGCAGTGTCAGAAACCATCAACTGCACGCACATGACATCTGCATGATCTGTCAGCCAAGCGTGCCTCAACTGCATCGGGTGCTTCAGCCTGAGCTGTGCAGACAGGTCAAGCGAACACGGCGAACACCGGAACTTGTTGTCAAGCTTAGTTGAGCTGCAGAAGGCTGTGCGTCAGCGGGGAATTGAGCGTCAGCTGGCATCTCCTCTGGGCTGGCTGGCAGGGTGGTGGGATGTGCAGCAGCGGGTTCTGCAGCTACAGGCTCTGCTGCTAACTTTTGCGCAGCATTCTGCTGCACCGCATCAGTCTGCGATGCAGCGCTTGGCTGCCTGCTGCGTGCAGGTTGGACTACCGGTGCCGCAGGCTGGGTGGCTGGTTGTGTGGAGGCAAGCCAGGCAGCAGGCTGTGAAACAACTTGTGAAGCAGGTTGTGAAGCAGGTTGTGGGGCAGGTTGTGGGGCAGGCGTCTGCGTCTTAGATGGCTGCTGCTTGGCAGCTGAATGTGCGGAAGCGGGCTGTGTTGATGCAGCCTTAGTGGACAATGATGATTCACGCATGCACCACTGTCACAGGTATGATGTCTTTAAGATGGGCAGCCGAGGCTGCAGCCAGAGCTACTTGGCCGGTCTGCGTGGGTGTACTAGGATGTGTCGGTGGCCTATCACGGCTTTATTGACAAAAGGATCTGCCTGAGAAACCACGGCTGTCTACCTCTGTGGACTACAGCACTGACGTAGGTTCGTGTGACTCTTTGTTGAGAGCATGGTTACATGACACCCGTACTGAGGCTCAATCATGAAGAAACACGGTAACATTAATCGTGATGCTCGTGATCCATCAAGGCAAAATCATTATAAAAAAAAAA